ACATGGTAGGGGCATAACCTGCTAATGTTTAACATAGACTCTGATGGCCATCTACTACAGACTCCTCAATGACTGCAGACTCTTTCTCTTTTCTCTTTCTCTTAATCCCACTGACACAAATCAAGACTTTACTGACAATATAATGCAGAAGGCAAATATGCTTATAATCATTGAATGAGATTCATGCAGCTCATGCATAAACATTGACACAAAGTAAGTCACATGAGAAGTGGTCAAACACACATACCAGTATACCATTTAGCCACAAATTCCAAGATCGGACTCACACCAGGTATGTTTGTATAATTTGAAACACTCCTCTCTTTACTCTTTGGCATTCTCTTGACCCTATTTCAAGTCAGGCTGAGAAAAAAAAAAAAATCACATGAGAAAGTTGTGAATGTAATAATTGATTTCTACAATTCTGAATCAATTCAAAACATCCAAAATTGATTTTACAAAATGTACTTTCTTACGTCAAAAGTGAAATTTCACAAGCAGCCAGTGTGTGCACGGCTATCTTCTTCTGTTCACCCTTTCCACCTTCCTTGGTAAACCGATGCAGCAGGGGGCGTGTCAATCCTGGCTCCTCAGTCGCACTGCTAGCTCCCACCCTTGGTGATGTATGGCTGTGTCTGACATACTAGCTTGCCTGTACTGTTTCTGGAGCAGTCCCGTCTTCATTGAATGTAAGCGTAAGAGCACACTTTGGATTCTATTATCCCCCTGTTTGATGAGGGAGCTTGAACCGACATTTTCAATATGCAAGGTCTGCAAAATGAAAGCGAAGTACTTTGGGAAAGATTCAGATTCCTGAGATCACATCCTATGCCACCACCCGGAGTTGAAACAGGTGGAACAACGGCTAACAGCTGTCTGACACACACAGCATCACTTTACAAATCTGCCAGCCAATTCAGGACTGGCAAAAAAGAAAAAGAAAAACCTGCATCCCTACAGAGTTATCATCGAGATCACGTAATTTATTTTTTCATTTGCAAGTTTTTGATAAATACTTAAGACTGTTGACTGTAAAATGATCCCACACATTTTATTCATAATGAAGTATTTTGCAAGATAAGCATAAATAAATGTTATCTTTGTTTTAGATTTCCCTCTGTGTATTTACATCATCACAATTAGCTGATACATATTTAAAAAAACTGCGTTCTTCATTTGGCTTTTAAAATCAATAATTTGCAGATTCTTAGCACTAAAAAAAATAAAAATAGGGAATGTAATGTGAATCGGAAATCGGTTTGAATCGACCCACATGTACCTAAAAATCAAAATCAAATCAAATCGTGAGATATTATATTATTATTATTATTATTATTATTATTATATTATTAAAGATTCACAACTCATTAATACAATTTAAATATAAGTATAAGGGGATGGTAAAATACAGAGAGAAGGTGGGATGTGGAGGGTGAGGGGTAAAAAGGGTAGAGAGGTCGTTTCAATAAAACAGCCATGTGAGGAGATCTTTGGGGGCTCAAAGTGAGAGGGCATGGTCTGTTCTGTCCTCCCCTCTTTATGTTTCTATGTTGCATATATTCTTTTCCATGAAAACAAACATCTCTCAGCTCTAAAGGAGAACAAACAACACAACAAGTACACATGATTGGATGGGGGATACATATAGTTTATGGTCTACACTTACTTGAGTGGTTCTGGAAAGAATTAACCATGATGCTATATCAATAATAAAAAAATATCACATTTTCTATAGTTTCAGTGATCTTTACATAAATGGCTAAGAATCAAATGTAAATAATATTTCATTCACTCTGACCAGAGATGACTTTGTGTCTTTTTCTGAATAGTTTCAGGGTGAAGAAAATTAAACCGTAGCTCTATTTCACTCACTGACATTTGCTGACAGTTTGTTAGGTAGTGTTTGTGCTTAAGGCAGGGAAACCTCATCCACTGCTAGGTCATGTTTTAATTTTAGAGCCATCAAAATCTTATGTCACAGTGATACTGAGCACACAAACACACACACACACGCACATACGCACACACGCACACACGCACACAAACACACGCACACAAACACACACACACACAAAAACACACGCACAAACACACTCATCCAGTGCTCCGGTTAATAGACTTGGAGCCAAATCTACAGTACCTGGGTAAGAAACCCTACAGCTATTTCTGGCTTCTCTTAAATTACTACATACACACAAACACACATATATACACCCCATTACACACACACACACACACACACACAGACAGACACACACACACACGGTTTCCCACCACACATTCATGTAGGTACAGAGGCATGCAGACACTAGATACACACAGCCTGCAAGCTATTTCTGGGCCAGTGGCAAAATAATATGTTTTGATAAGGTCAGCAGCCTGTATGTGGATACCAAACACACTCTAGATGCTGAAATGTCTCTTGAGTTAATTGACAGCAGGAGAAACATGCAGACAGACTTGCAAATCTCGGGAGAAAGCCAAATTAAGAGGGAGGCGATGATGAGACCATTTCAGACGTAAAGTCGAGAGGGGGAAGCATATCTTATAAATCCTCTCGATTTAATCACAGCTTCTTTTTTTTTTAGCATTTAGATTAGTCTGTGTAATGTGGAACATTGAAATCGACTCAATTAAATGAGGCGCCATAATAGAAAGAAGTAAACCAATATCCTGCCATTTTATCCGGAAACATTAAGTCAGTTCAAATTCAAACCCGCTGCTCAAAATGTACAGCATTCAGAACATCACCTGCTTGTTTTTTTCATGTCAAAGAATCCTATATAAGACATCAGCATTGCTGGAAATGCTACGGTCTTTTAACACATGTTGGCTGTGTGGAACATGCGTCAGGGCTGTTACCAGGTCGTAAGCATGGCCGACTCTCAAAGTGGCTTTTATGGCAAAATGACTCGTGGGTACTTCTCAAACATGAGGCGTACATGTAAAGTTGGCAGAGCATTCTGGGATTACAGCGCCCCGTCTGAAAGTGGAAACAGAGACAGGGTGTACTGTATGTGAGTGTGTGTGAGTGTGTGTCTAATTTCCCAAGGCTTTTCAGATACCACAGCCAGACCTCAAAACTATCATCAGTGTTCTCGCTCCCATCTGCCAAAGTCATCACCCACACACAGACACTTTCTCTCTCTCTCTCGCGCACACACACAAGAAGGAGGTGTGAGATAGCCATCCCTCAACATTTTTTTTTTTTACAAGGGTGGGAACCTGGCTGTAAACTTCTTAACGTTCTTAACTTCTGTCCGTCAATCCACACGCTGACTTTCCCATCTCTCTCTCTCTCTCTATCTCTTTCTCTCTCTCTCTCTCTCTCTCACACACAAACAAACATTTGTTGTCTGCTCGTTAGTCTGCTGAGGTGTTGGTTCTTAGAAAAAAAATAAAATGAGGTGAGAAGAAGCTAGTAACAACTACTCAAGAGTTTTCCCATTAAAACTTACACTTTGTATTTCACATGACGACATGTATTTTTAGAAAGAGAGAGTTTACTGTATGTTGATACCAGGCCTTGACATATAATGGACAGGACTTAGGAGACAAAAAGGAAATAAAAAGCCAGAAAAGACAATGATATGGAGTTTTCTGAAATATTTCAAAAAGGCAGTGAGAGCAGAGAACTGATGCGGAGGCCTCTGAGGCAGGAAGTGGAACGTTTGGTCATGAAAAATGACTTGTTGAAAGAGTGAGAGTGACTGATGATGGTCGGAGAATACAGCATGTCTTCGAGTCACATTGAGATGTTTGAATTGTCCGAGAGCAGCTGTGGTTTCATGCTTGTTTCAAGCCAATTTGACACCATTTTTTTTTCGTTTTAAAACAACTACGGCATTTCTGGACATGAATATTTATCTGATTACATAAGAAGAACACATCATGAGACATTAAGAGAAGGAATCCATCAATAATTGATTAGTACGCTCAGACAGCTCTTATTGTTCTTTCGTTGGCTCATGTTAATGATATTTTATGCTGTCCAAGGAAGAAGAATACAAAATGAACCGTGTAATAATAAACTAACAAATGCCGCGCAGAGAGACAGCTGTGTCGATAAGTTTCTCCTGAGTCCCTTTACTAGCCTGCACCTTTAGTTTTCAACTGTCTGAATGGAAATAAATCAGGGGTGTGGAACGATGTCTCTGACTGAAAAGGATTTTAAAGAGTGTACTGGAAAGCAAAACTTAAACATATAAAAACAAAAGCTCATTATTACAACTTGAGATGAATAAATTCTCCGGTTTCTTAAGCTCTTGAATCTTTCAAAAATAAATGTCCCTAACAAGTAACAGAGAAGACTCAATTAATCTTTTTACTAAATGTTAACACAGAGCGTTTTAGTTGATGAGTTTGAAAAGCATTCTTCACCTTTTAAAATCCTTAAAGAATGGTCTGATGAATGATGCAATCACATTCATTCACAACGAGCAGTTTAGTGAAGATCCCTAGAAACTGAAAAAAAAAAAGCTTCAGTGACATCAACTCTAGTTGCTGAGTTGAAAGAAGAATGGAAGCTGATTGGATGAGTAGTTACATCCCAAATGAGTTCCTCGAGTGGAGAGTAGGTCTTGAAATTGTTATTTAAAGCTAACAAAACACTCGTACTAAAAAGAATATTGCCGCTCTGTTAAATGCAACATACAAAAATAAGCTATGACAGCGAAGGTTAAATGCAATCCGAAAATGATAAATAAAAAACATGGCAACTTTGAAAACTACTATTGTGCATAAACTAAAGTGAGGATTGATGGGGGAGCAGATCTAGGAGTCGGGGATCACTTTTCAACTCCTGTCTGAGAGTGTGTTCCCCAGAGAAGAGGCGAGGTGAGTTCCTGGCTGACGCTGAGGCCTCCGGAGACTCGCAGGCTACACAGATTTAATTAGAGAGGAAAGCAGAGACGAGTGGAGAGGAGGACGGTGATGCGTGTCGAAAAAAAAAATCTTCTTTTTGGACATCCCCCATAAAAGGGAAGCAGAAGAAGCATTACCTTGGTAAGGAAGCATACTGACGTTCAACCTCTTCATAACGCGGTGCCAACCGGGGATCTGGCCCTCTGCCTGGCATCTGGTAAAAAAAAGAAAAGAGACAGTTGGTTAGTTTATAAGTTAAAAATGTGAGTCCAAGCATGTTCAGTGTGCACCCACAAGTTCCTCTTAAGTCTGAGTGTGATTCTGTGTGTTTGGGATTCAGGGTAATTGATGATTGACAAAGGCTAGTTATTAGGGATTTAGAGAGTTTTGGTCTTCTGAGGATTTCGGGAGGGGCGGGGGTGGGGGTCTCCATGCTAGATTAGGTTACTTCAAAACAGGATGGAGTCATCTCACACAAACACACGCACACACACACACACACACAGAGTCACACACACATACAAAGTCAAGTCTCATCTCCATCTTGAAGTAAAAAAAGAGATTATGCCGAGCTGCTGACAGTTCAATCTCTAACCACTTCCTCTCTTTCTCTACATCTCACTGCTTCTTCTTCTTTCCCCTCACATCTTTTATTTTTCTTCTCTTCTCACACTTATTCCCATTTCCTCTCTTTTTCTCCTCTCGCACACACACATGGGAACACACACTCAAAAGCACAAGCGCACACACTCACACACACACACATACACAGTCTCTCTGTCAGAGATTATCCCGCTCTATTCAGTAGGGAGATTCCAGCTGCCGCGGCGCTCCTTAAAGAAGCCGACTAAACCCCAAACGTCAACAAGCTCCATTAACACACTCACACACACACAAGTATGCACAAATATATACAAACATATACACAAGCCATTTTCTCTGTAAGACACACTGACTATTGTGAATGAGACTCATTTTAACATAATGTGGGGGTGAGAGAGGGAGATAAAAGTCAGCGTTGTGACTCTGCATACATGCTGAATTTGAACAATAAAAATAATACTCATACGCAGCACTAAATAGTCCCTTTGGGGTCTGTACGTTGCTAAGCTTTGAAAATACGCCATCTATTGTAGTCTTTCACACCCTTGCACAATATGAAATGGTGCTCTCTGACCGGCTTCACTGTATGTGATCTGCACATTTGAAGCTGTTCAGTCCTGTAACATTATGGTGTACACCATGTTCCCACATAGTGTGAAAGAAAAGAGCACCATTAGATCCAAAAGAACATAATGGACGTAGCTGAAGTGTGTGTGTGTGTGTGTGTGTGTGTGTGTGTGTGTGTGGGTCCGAAGTTGTGAAGAAAAAAAAAAAAAAGTTGAAGGATTTATTGAAAACTAGGCTCTTTTTCTCTCTTCAATTCAAAGTAATACTGTCAACACAAAAGGTGCTGAGAATGAGATATTATGGACCACGGCTTTTTCTTCTCTCTCTGTATTCCAGGGAACGATGCCAAGAGGCATATAAAACAGATTTGCCGGGCCTGCTTTCTTTTGAACACCTGTCTTTATAGCTTCAATATCTCAGGTAGAGAGAGAGCAGGATATTAAGTTGGAAGAGAGAGGTGGAGCAAACGAATGAAAAGGCATTAACACAGAATGAAAGGAGGTAAGAGAGACAGAGTGAATGAGAAGTAAATGACATAGAGAGGAGCGGGGGAGGGTGATATAGAGAGGAGGAGGCGTATTATGATGCCATTGAGAAGTATCAGGGAGAGAGAAGGGATGAGAGGTGAATTATAAAACAAGAGAGAGAATGGGGTGAAGATGAGGACGAAGGAACGGAGAGGTTAAAGGGACATGGACGGAACAATTTCAACAAGATATTAAAAAGGGAACCAGAGATAGCAGGATGGGGGAGAGATGAGAGAGGGAATAAATGTAACATCTGGCAGGGGTGAGAGGGAGGGATGATTAAGGGGGTAAAAAAAAAGGGGAGAGTCATGAATGGAGGAGTGTAGAGAACATGAATGGAGGGGGGTAGGTGTTGGAGGAATGGAGGAATTAAAGCAGTTGAAGTACAGTTATTAAGGGTTGGCGTCATTCCACGTTTTTCTTTATTGTAAAAAAAAAATCCCATCCCAAAAATTCCAATGAAAGACTCAAACTAACAGTTCAGTCATGTGTCTCGTCGTTCCAATATAATGTGTCCCTCTCGGGCAAAACCACTGGTTCAGATGAATGACAATCTCACAACCTGTTGCTTATCTTGTCACGATGATACAGCCACTAGGAGTAACAGACATTTTTTGGGGGGGCTTCTTTTGTTGCAAGTTGGATATTTCTTGAGTTATCTGGACAAACCAACAAGGCAGACCAGTCTTTCTTTTTACATGCTCTCTCCATCTTTTTTTCATTTTTTTCTTTAGTCTGACTAGAAACTTGACAACAGAGAATTGATTTAAAGAGCCCATATTATGCCCTTTTTGGGGTTCGTATATTTAATCTATGTACCTACTTTTGTACGTTCACAATAGCTGAAGTCCGAAAAAAAAGTCTCTGTTTTCATGTACTGCTCCTCCTTGCTCCCTCTCCACTCTGAGTCCGTCAGCTACACTCTGTTGAGCCCACACTGTTAGACCCCACGTGGGCCAAGTCTGCTCTGATTGGTCTGCCGATCCGCTCTGTCGTTATTGGTCAGTTGCTCAGCATGTGTCTCGGAAATTTCAACATGAGCTGCAGGGCTTGCCACAACGAGCCAATGGACTTAGATCAGTGATCTCACACTGACAATGACGTCGCACTGACAAATCTTTATCGAGGGGGGTTAGAACTGAGCGTTACATGCAGCTAATGCTACAGCTAACAGGAGGTGGTAGGAGAATCATTTTTGCACATAGATGTGCCTAAACATGCACAGGACACTTGGAAAACACACTAAAGGGCATATAAAACCAGAAAAAGCATAATATGGGACCTTTAAAGTTTAGTCTATAACCTGACGATAAGCTGCACTTTTATGACAATGTATATAAATTGTCAACATTGCAGAAGGGCTCAGGGATCGCACTACAGCCAATGTGTTCAGCCTCATTTTTTCTCCTCATGGATGGTTGTCCTGATACAGTCAATGCTCACAAATACACTTTATCCCCTGGGTCAAAGTCCTGCATAGCTAGACCCATTAAAAACACCCAACCCCAAGCTGACTTTATCAGTCTTTCTGTATGTTCCTCAGAGCAGTAAGGACTCTGTGTCTAATATGGTAACTGTGAGATCCCATGTGTGTACCATTTTTATCATAGACTGTATACACATGGACGTAGTATCAGTGAGGTCACCTACTGGTGACTGAAGTGGACTTTTGAAGCCCATTGTTGGCATTCACCATAAGGATGTGCTGTCTCAGACTTACTTTTGGTTAACCTAGTAACAGTCAAAGAGCTGGAGCTGAGGCGGGCCTTAAGCCTCCTGACAATCAGATACAACCCGCTCGCCCGTTGGTCAGATCAGCCACGCCCCTTAGTATGAATAGTTCTTATCCTAAAATTCATAAAATCAAAACGGAGGAGTTCTAAAACAATTCTCCCCCCATACAGTGTGTGTCTTGGCTTTTGCAGCCAGCCTCAAGTGGAAACTAAAGGAACTGCAGCTTTTTGCACTTAAACATTGGCTTCATTTTTCAACACGGGAAGTTGCCGCTTGGTCTTATGAGATCTTGAGAGTCGTGACAAGGTATCACAGTTCAACTTGTAATTGAGCATGGGCTGGTATAGGATAAGTCTTGGGGTTAATTCACTCATAACTTGTTAGTAGCATCAATAGAATTAGCTTCCAATAACAACAAAAAAACACACAATATTTCTGGCATTGTCCTTTAAAAACATTGTATCATGAACCCAAAATGTGCCTTGGTACAGACAGGCAGAGTGAGTTTATGGTTTGGTAATCTTCTGCTCAAGTGTGTCTCTGTGTGTTTCCAAACACCCGGATCAAGTGCAGATTAGTGTGTGATGTCACAAACTGAGTCAACACAAACAGATGAGCGTGCAATGAATGTGCATGTGTACATATGAGGTGAGCAAGTGCAAAGAGAGCAAATAAATAGCTCTGACCACGCAGACACATGGTTAGCTGTGAGTCAAGAGGGAGAATATTACATTTTACAATCATCCAAATCATAGCAAAGTAACAATAATGTTGTTCTTTCTACTACTAAGTGTCATATAACTGTGTGTGTGGTGGGTCAGTTTCACCAGTGAATCATGGCAACGAACAATGATTGAATTTTTATTCTTTCGTATGCTTGAGAGCAAAGTGGTACAACTGACCAACCGACCCTTGATGTGATTGTGGGTACCTCTCTTATTACATAACTTTGATACAACTAATGTTTGGTTGATTCAGAAGAAACCCTCGAAATCAGGCACATAAAGCTGCCAGTAATGAGCTTTAAATGTACCCAAAAAATTAAATCAATCCGAAAGTTTTACAGTTTGTCAAGACAATTAAACACAAAATACGAGTATTGCTCTGTTTCCACATTTTGCTCTTTTAAACCCATATATTATGTAAATGGAACAAGATATGAAAAGCTCACTGAACCATAAATAATGCTGATCACTTGATGAGTCCAATGATAATTCAGCTAGAAGAGCTACCAGTTTGTTACCGGCTATGACAAGAGCTTCTGGTTTTTATCTCTCTGTACCTGTGTGTGTGTGTGTGTGTGTGTGTGTGTGTGTGTGTGTGTGTGTGTGTGTGTGTGTGGTGTGTGTGTGTGTGTGTGTGTGTGTGTGTGTGTGTGTGTGTGTGTGTGTGTGTGTGTGTGTGTGTGTGTGTGTGTGTGTGTGTGTGTGTGACAAAGTAAGTCACAGTTAGAGAGATGTTGTAGCCTCCCAGCATTCATTACTCTGACTGGAGAGCGGTGTGCAGGGTAAACACTTTAACAGCTGAGCTTGTGTGGGACATAATGTAGAACAATTCTTTCTTTTTTCTGTCACCCACACACAAACAGTACCATGCCAACATGTACAAAAACAATCCCGCTTCCCCACATGTAAACAAAACATGCACAATCTTTCTCTTTCAAGAGCAGCTACTGTACACTTACAAAGTCTCACTCATAAACGCAGCGAACTGCACAAACCTCTCTCTCTCTCTCTCTCTCTCTCTCTCTCTCTCTCTCTCTCTCTCTCTCTCAGGAGCTCAC